CCTATTTATTTCCTTCATATTTTTCTTTGTATTTTCCTTATGTTTATTTTTCTTGTACTTATTTTCCATATATTTTCTTTATGTTCTCCTCATATTTTTTTTCTTCTTTCCCCTTTTCCTTCCTCTATATCATATCTCCTCCCCCCCTTCCCCCTTTCCATCCCTCCCCTGTCTCCCCTCTGGCAGCCCTTGGATCCCCAGGAGACCAGCACCAAAAACCCTCTGGAGGAGCCTGAACCCCCTGAACCAGATGGGCCCCCCCCAGCCCCCCTGCAGGACAGGACAGCCCCGACCCCCACGGGCCCAGACAACACCCTGAGCCCCCCAAATGTGAGGGTTGAGGGTGACAAAGGCACAGAAAAGGAGAGTGAGGAGTGGGACAACGACAGCGGCGAGACCTCGGTGTGGGACAGCTCTGACCTGGGCACAGAGACCCTCGGAGCCCACCCGGGTGAGGGGGCACAGGGGGGGCCACAGGGGAGCCACAGCCTTGAGAGTGCCTTGGAGAGGCTGGAAGGAGCTCCCACAGGCCGGATCTCTGTCCTCACTGTGGGCTGTTGTTCTGTTTCTTTGCAGAAATCCCTCTGGGGGACCTTCCCCAGACCCGCTCCGGGCTCCAGGCCTACAGGACCCACCTGCTCATGGAGCTCATGTGGCTGCAACAGGCCATTGCCAGCAGGAAAAACGTGAGGGCCCTGCCCTGCCTCTTCCCAAACAGCAGGGGCAGCCCCTGCAAAAGTGGGGCTGGCTGGGGACGATCCCATTATCCAGGGATTGGGCTGGATGGGGACGATCCCATTATCCAGGGATTGGGCTGGCTGGGGACGATCCCATTATCCAGGGATTGGGCTGGCTGGGGACAGGGGTTTTGCTGTTTGATCTGCCCCTGGGTCTCTGAGATTTAATCATCAGTGCTTGGGTTTTTTTCCCCTTCCAGTTCTTGATGCTGAAGCGGAAGCTGGGGATTCCTGACTCCTTGGAAGGCATTCCCAACCCCCTGGATGGGTGTGGGGAAGCCGTGGAGCTGCAGCACCACGGGTGACCTCAGGGGAGCTCCAGCTCCGTGGGTTGATGGTTTTAACTTCAGCAGAATGTGGCAAGAAAGCCTCTCAGTTTTTGTAGATGTGAATATTTGGTCAGAGCAGGATTAAACACCGTGGAGCCAGGGAGGTTGTGGTGTGTGCTGGAGGGATTCCCAGTGAGGATCCTTCCAGAAGGACCCCATTCCTGTTGGCTGAGCTGGGTGATCTGGGGGGGGAAAATGGAGAATGGGAAGATTTTTCACTTACAGAAGGTGCTTTTGGACTGAAATGCCTGAAGGCAGCAGGTGCTGGGAGCTGCAGGAACAGCCTGTTCCCCTCTGAACTGTGTGGGAATCTGAGCTGTGTGTTTGGGAGGGCTCTGCACTTCACACCTCTGCAATCTCCAGGATCTCCAAGTGCCCGTGGTGGATTTTAGGAACACTGGACCAGTGCCTCAGGGAGGTTGGGAGGTGCTCTATCTGTTCCTGTAGCTCAGGAACATTCCAGGTCCCTGGAAAAGGGACTTTCCACATGGTGCTGTGGTTCCCCCCCTCTGTGATTCCCTCTCTGCATTCCTGCTGCCTGAACAGCCTCTGTTGCCAGGTGGCAGATGGATCCCCCTGTTCCAGAATAGATCCCCACTTGTTTGTGAATAAAAAGCTTTCCTAATGCTCCTCTTTGGATCTGTTCCTGTCTGGCTTCCTGCCTTCTCCTGGGCAGAGCCACGTCCTGTTTCGGCCCATGGAATCCCTTTTGGACAAAGTACCCACTGGGATGTGGGTGCTTATCTGATCCAAGAGGGGATCCTTTGCACTTCTGCAGGGGACAAGTGATGCCAGGGGGGTGACAGCACCTGGGCAGCGCTGCTGTGGGTGGGACAGGAAGATCCTGATCCATAAATCCCGGTCAGAGCTTGGTGGCTCCAATATTGGGCCCCTGTAGTGGTGGTGGAGGATTGAGGAGCCGTGTGGTTCCTGGTTCTTGGGCAGAAAAGTGCTCTGCAGGTGTTTGGTGTGGCCTCCCACGACTCCCTCCTGCTGGGTTTGCATCCATGGAGATGCTCAGTCACACCAGGCTGGGCTGGGAAGGGGTGGGACAGCAGAGCCCAGAGCGGCTGGTCAGAAGGGGTTGGGATCTGGGGAGCTCCTTGGGGGGGGGTTAGCCTCAGTGGGAGGCTGGTCAGAAGGGTTTGGGCTCAGCAGGAAGGGTTTGGGCTCAGCAGGAGGCTGGTTGGAAGGGTTTGGGCTGGTTGGGAGGGTTTGCTTTGGGCTTTGCAGGAGGCTGGTCAAAAGGGTTTGGGCTCTGGGGAGCTGGTTGGAAGGATTTAGGCTGGTCGGAAAGGTCTGGGCTCAGTGGGAGGCTGGTTGGAAGGGTTTGGGCTCTGGGGGGTGTGATTTGGAAGGGTTTGGGCTCAGCAGGAGGTTTGTCCACTCGCCACATCCCCTGTGACCAGTGTGTCCCACTGGGATGAGCCCCCAAGGCCCAGCTCCAGCCAGGACCGTGCTGATCTATCGCAACGGGGACCGTTTCTTCCCGGGGAGGAGATTCCTGGTGACCCCCCGGCGCTTCCCGACCTTCGAGGCCTTTCTGGACGAGGTGACCAAGGCCCTCCACACCCCCCTGGCCGTGAGGAACCTCTACACCCCCCGGCATGGCCACGGTGTCACAGGGCTGGGGGACCTGCGGGACGGGGGCCAGTACGTGGCAGCGGGGTCGGAGAGGCTCCGAAAGCTGGAGTGAGTAGAGGGAGCTTTGGGAGCAGCTTCAGGCAGCCATGGCTGGGGTGGGGTGGGGAAACACCCTTGTCTTGTTCCCACAGCTACTTAAATCAGGGAAGGAAGGAGCCTCGTGGGATGAGGAAGAGTCTGCAGGTGGGTCACTGAGGGGCGGGGCGGGGGTGAGAAGCAGCAACTGATGGGACTGAAGTTGGGATTTAGGGCTGTGGGGATCAAAGTGTCCCAGGGATCAGCAGGGCACAGGGGCTGCTGCTGATCCCTTCATCCCCCTGAATGGTGCAGGGAAGGGTCTGAGCTCAGGGATTCACTGGCAAACCTGGAACACGCTCCCTGTGTGAGGAGCCTCTGCAGCCTCCCTGTTGCTGACAACAAACCCCACATGGCAGCAGCAAGGCTGAGCAGGACAGGCTGTGTCCCATGACAGGCTGTATCCCACCATGGGCTGTGTCCCGGGATAGGCTGTGTCCCACCATGGGCTGTGTCCCAGACTGGGCTGTGTCCCAGGCTGAGCTGTATCCCAGGGGATGTGCCAGGGCAGGCAGATCCTCATGTAGAAATGGGAGCAGCCTGGGAGGTTCTGCAGGGCCGTCCCTGTGCAATGAACTCTGTCCCCAGTCCCGTGCTGCAGATCCCTGGAAATCCAACACCTTCATCCAACAGCAGCAGCTCTCCCGCCTGCCCTGCACCATACAGTAAGTGATTCCATATTTTCCCCTTGGAGGGTCCCTGGGAATGTTTTCAGAGGGAGTTTCTCTGTGAAATCCTGGGAATGCTGCACCACAGGGACGATTCCCAGTTTCCACCAGGAGTATTTGCTGTAAATACAGTCCAGGCACTGGTGTCTGGCTGTTCTCCCCATCTCCCACAGCTCTGGGAATGCTGGCTCATCCCGTGCTCTGGGCTGTTTCTCCTGCAGTGTTTTCCGGAATGGGGATCTGCTGAGCCCTCCTTTCCCACTGGTGCTCCCCAAGAGGATCCCACTGGAGTGGGACACACTCCTGGCCACACTGACAGAGAAAGTGGAGTTGGGCAGTGGAGCCGTTAACAAGTGGGTATCCAGGGAAGGGAATTCCCATAGATCCAGGATGTAGGGAGCTCTGGCTGGAAGTTCAGACCATCTGCTTTTGAAACTCATTTGCTTTTCAGGTTTTCCCATCACTAAATCAGGGATAACCCCAATGTCCTGGGTGCTTTGTGATGGGGGGGGCTGATGCTGGTGAAAAAGCAATAAGCAAACAGTAAAAAACCCCCACAACAGTGGCATAAAAAGGAGTTTATGTCTTGAGGGAGGGGAAGAAAACCTAATTCCTCCCCAAACATCAATTTAGCCAAGGAGAAAGCTGGGATCTATTGCATCTCACTGATTACTGGGCATGATTTCTGTGATTTCCTCACAGTAACACTAAGAATGATGGATCCTCTGCCTCGTTTCCCACTCTGCCCTTGTTTTCCACGCTGAGGGGGCTGCTCAGGGATTGCCAGAGCCCTGATCCCTGTGCTGTCTCCTTCCTCCAGGCTCTGCAGGCTGGATGGGACCCCGGTGTGTGGAGGGGAGGAGCTGGAGAATGGCCATCACTACGTGGCAGTGGGAAAGGAGGAGTACAAACCCCTGCCCTACAGGGAGCTGCTGGTGCCCCAGGAGTGCAGGACACTGGGGTGCGTGGGCTGTGGCCAAGGGGTGTAAGGAATTCCCTCTGTGGCATCCTTCAGGCAGAGCCATCCTTTTTGTGGCCCCCCTCTGTTCCCCCTGCCTGTGCCAGGGTTTGAGTTGTGCTTCGTGTGTTGGGAGTTCAGGGAAGGAAGAAAAATGTTTTCAAAGGTTTTTGGTTAGTGCCTGAAATCCAGGGTTCAGTGCCAGAGGAAGCAAATTGTTTGGCTGTTTCTCAGCTGCATGTTCATGGAGCACTGAGAGGGACACCTGCCCATTATCCATGGAATTTCCCAGGCCTGTGGTATCACCTGATGGGATCCACTGTGGAATGTGAAAAACTCCTCTGGGAAAAGAGGGGACTGTGCCCTCCCTCAACTGACCTCTGCCTGATGCTGGAATTTGCTTCTTTGTTACAGGAACCACCCAAAAAACAGGCACAATAAGAGCCAGGGCAGGGTGAGTGCTCAGTGGCACAGAGTGGTTCGTGCTGCAGTCATGGAATCATGGAATGGTTTGGGTTGGGAGGGACCTTAAAGCTCATCCAGTGCCACCCCCTGCCATGGGCAGGGACACCTTCCACCAGCCCAGGTTGCTCCAAACCCTGTCCAGCCTGGCCTTGGACACTTCCAGGGATGGGGCAGCCACAGCCTCTCCCTGAAACCCTCTTGTCACAGTTACAGCTTTGTACCACTCAGGATCAAGGAAAACAGCAGGAATTTGAGTGTTTAGGGACTTCCCTGCACAACTTCTCTTTTATAAAGTGTGATGGTTTTTTTTTCAGCTGGACAGTCACAGGGTGCAGACCACGGGAGCTGCAGAGAAAGGCAAGATCCCACTTGCCTTCCCACAGCTGCAAATTCCAGCCAGGGAATCTCCCCTCGAGGAGGAAGAGCCCATTTTCCACGTCAAACCTGTGCGTGCAGGACAGAACAGAAGGAGCAGCAGGAGTGTGCAGCCCAGTCCAGGTGAAGGTGTGAGTGTGGAGGGGGCTGGATTTATGATGCTGAAGGACAGGATTCCTGCCCTGACAGCAGGCAGGGATGCATCCAGCAATCCCTGCAGTTCTTCTTTCCCCTCCTCACCTGGGCACACACCAGGATTCTGCAGTCTTGGAGTGACCAGGCCATGCAACACCCATGGAAAAGCTTTTCCCTTTCCTTTTCCTCACAGGAAAAAGCCTCTCTAAACCCAGGGATCCAAGGAGGGAGATGAGAGGTGCTCGGGAAGAGGGTGAACACACCAGGCTGGATGTACCCATTGACCAGGTCTGAGAGGTGATTTCCTGCCTGTCTGGATCCTCCCAGCTCCAGGGAAGGACTCCTGGTCCCCCTGGAATGGCTCAGCCCCAAGGGCCAATCGAGAGTTCACAGCAATTCCTTGGGGAAGTCCTTGTTTTCTCACTGAAATCCTATTTATCAGGTTTAGGACACACTGAGCTGCTCTCCGATGTGTAAAGCCGAGAGCAACCACGAGGGGGAACTCGAGAAGCCACAGCGCGGTGTCACTGCAGGGCTTCGTGTTAGAAAAGCAAGAAATCCCATCTGGAGAACGAACAATTCCCTTCTGGAACGTGAAAACTACAGCTTCCCACTCCAGTAAGGACAGCAAAGGCTCTCCTGGATTCTTCTGTGTTTTCATCCTCACTCCTGTCACAGAAGAACTTACATGGAAACCCAAAATGAGACACCAAGGAAAGGTATTTATTCCCCTCAGTGGTTCTGTGGAGTGGGGGAGAACATTCCTGTGATCAGGTTCCTCCCACTGCAATTCCTGAAGTTCCTTAAGCAGAACTTACCTGTATCCAGGTGAAGCTCAGAATCCGCCAGGGAATAACCACCTAATTCTTCAAATGACTGAACACAACTTATTTTAGTAACAGAAGTTCAAACCTTTGCTTTAAAAAAGAGGGAAAAAATAGTTCTTTCTAAAACAATATTCTGCATGACGAGGTCAGCAAAATTCTTGTTGTCAGTGGTGTGTTAATGATTCCAGCTTTTCCTGAGGATATTCAGGGTTGCTGCAATGGGTGACAGTGTAGGTGACTCAGCTCTGCCTCGGTGGTGTCTCTGTGTTAATTAGAACTTCAAAGGAAGACAATTCCTTTGAAGTGAAATTAGAGAAAGCCCTGGTGAAGCTTTAGCTGGTGGTTCCTGACCCTTGTTGTGCTGTGTTTGCTGCACTGGGTGCTCCAGTGCTGCTGCTTTCCCTTGGCTTTTCCCCCTCTGGATCACATTCCTGTGCAGTTGGTTTTATTCAGATTCACAGTGTTGTTAAATAATGAAGATTTTCT